CCCCCCCCCCCAGGCCCCCCCCAGCACTCACAAATCGACTGGAATTGTTGTTCCGCACCGTCTTTGCGTTCCCAAAGGCCTCCAGGAGAGGGTTAGATTTTAGGATAATGTCTTTTACGTGCTGAAATGAAAGAGGTTCTGTTTTTCATGCTTATTTTCATCCCGCCTTTATTGCTTTTTTTATAAATAACCGCAGGCAGCAACGTATGCCTCAAACTCTTTCCTCCGCCTCTTTTCCTCACAACAACAGCCCTGTGAGGTGGACCTGCCCAAGGACACCCGGCTGGCTTTCACGCCCAAGGTGGCACTAGAACTCCCAGCCTCCCAGTTTCTAGCCTGAGCCTCCAGGTGACCAAAACGGGCCCCTTCCTATGGGACCTTCGGCCCATCGCCAGCCCACCCCAACCTGGGCTGGGGGGGGGCAATGGGGGGGGGGGCGTGATTTCATGTCAGGACAAGCCGCTCACCTGAACACTGGGGCCCCCGCCAGACACCTTGGAGATGTAGCCCATGATGTATTTGGCCGCCACCGTCTTGCCAGCTCCACTCTCCCCACTGGGAGGGAAAGAAGAGGGGGGGAAATCAGGCCTGGAATGAGCTTTCCACAGACCCCCCCCAACCGCCCCCCCCAGGGAAGCCCCCAGCCTCACCTGATGATGACACACTGGTTCTCCCCATCGATCAACATGTTGCGGTACATCTGGTCCGCCAGGGCGTAGATGTGCGGAGGGTTTTCGTACTGGGCCTGTGCGGGAGGGACACAACACGTACAGGGGGGCCCTGAGCATCTCGGCACTTCCCGGGGGTGACTAGAGGCCATCTAGTCCAGCTGGATCAAAGTGGAACCTTTGGGGCTCGGGGGGGGGCGGGCATCATCCCAGGGACCACATGGGTGCAAAGCGGGGCTTCTCCCCCCCCCCACCCCCCGCGCACACGCACTCACCGCCCCCTGGTACATGTCGACCTCTCGGTCGGTGAAGTAGGGCAGCTGCTTGAAGGGGTTGACCGAAATCAGGACTGGCCCAATGTACGTCTTTCCGTTTCCAAGTTAAGGGGTGGCACGGAAAAGGGGGGGCTCCCGGTTGAATGCCTGCCTCGCTCTGCCCCCACCGCCCCCTCCCCCTCAGGCTTCCCGCCAGAGGCAGACTGCCCTTATGCAGGGAGGCTCTATCCCCTCCCACTCCCAACAGGCGCCCGCCAGCACGTCCTCTGGATACGAAAATGTAGTCGTCCATGAACCTCTTCCGCAGGTTCTCCACGATGGCGTCTTCCTGGATCTTGGGCAGCAGAACCATGTCGTCCACCCCACTCTGCTTGACATTCTGCATCTGCCAGTGGTAGCGCCCTTTGCTGCCCTGGGGGGCGAGGAGGAGGAGGAGGAGGAGGGGGAGGGGTGGAGGGGGGCCCCCCCCCCCCCCCCCCCCCCGTTTGGAACAGGGCTGGACATCACTTTGAGAGCCCAGGAAAGGAACGAAGGCCCCGTGCAAAAAACCAAATCCTTTTAAAAAGCGACAGTCCACGAGGCCTGAAGGGCCCATGCTGCACAGCCCAGCCCGTCACGACTGCTTTCAGAATGTGGTGGGGGCACTAAGGGGCCACGGACTCCACGCCCACGGCTAATTCTTTTAGCTCCAGGTGGGGCTGTGGGTGGCCACCAGCCGTGGAAAGGCTTCCAAACGTCCAAGCAACGCTTCGCAAACCTTAAGCCACGTTTGAGAATAAATTACAGCCGCAGCCCACCAAACAAAAAACACCCCACCAACAACAAGGACTTTAAAAGGCCCAGAAAAGCACCTTCTTTGCCAACTGTGTGAGAAAGAAAAGCCTTCCAGGAAATTGTTGGGTTTGAACTGAGAAACTGGCTAAAAATACTAGCCCTTCATTAGCACCGCCAGGCCGGATCAAGAGGGTTTGGCTGAGCCGGCTGGACAGGAGAGAGAGAGGGGGGGGGGGGGGAGGGGGGGGGCAGGGAGGGGGGGGCTGGGGGGGCAGCACAGTCAAACTTTGCAAAGCTGGCCCTCTCCGCCGTTTGGTGGTGGGGTTTTTGCCTGGGGGGCGAGGTGTGTTTGCCCCATTACACCCCCACCTCCTTCTCTCCTGCACCATAAAACCTGGGTGGCCTTTGGGGGCAGATTGCCCCCCCCCCATCACCACCCGTCTTGGTCTTGCAAACTTTCCCCAAAGCTGGTTGCTAAGGTTTCTTCCCAGCCAAGCCGGGAAGACAATGCCAGCGAGGAGTTGCCAAGCGACCAGCCGAGGAGAAGCTGGATGGACGGGTGGTTCGACCGGCCAATTGACTCTTGGGTGCCCGGAGTGGAGAGCAGCCTCTGGCAGAGAGAGAGATGGAGAGTGAGGGGGCACCACCCCTGCTGCTTCACAATGAACTCGGGACACGAGTTCAAATGCCCCCACTCTGGAACCGAGGAGAGGGGATGTGTGCAGCCTCTGGAAAGCCCCCTCGGGAGAAAACGCTTGAATCGAGCATAGATTGAATCACAGTGAAATACAAATTTAATGGCATCGTTTCCCTTCTCGATCGCCTTGAAGACGCACCCCACCTGGGGCACGCTCTGAGGTTTCGTTCACACAGCGCACCTAGCAAGGAATTGGGCTGTGTGTCCAGGCACACGACCTACTCATTGGGGGCACTTCCTGGTCAGCCCCGCTTTGTGTCACTGCAGGAACCCAGGATGGATACGACCAGCCGAGCCAAGGAGTTGAAGGGGGTCAACCGGTTGTGTGAAGGCAGCCTGGGGTCTGCCAGAGCCCTGATCGCCAGTTAGAGATAAGCAGACGTGGTGAGGTTTCCGCCTTTCCTTAAAAACCCCCGAGTTTCTTGGCTCCAGGCTGGGGATGACTTACCTGGGCCTTTGCGTCACCTGGGCGGAGAAACCCTCCTATCATCGGTTGGGAAAGCGGCTCCTCCTTCGTGTATTTGGGTTGGGTGCCTCTGAGATCCCATCCGCTTTGGGGAGGGGTGGGACTGAGATGTAGGAGACCCCAGGCACCTTATCTCCCTCCCCCACCCCACCCCCCAAAAAACTCCTGCCAAACCAGTAGCATCAGCAGCCCCCCCTGGGGAGTTTGCCCGGTTAACTCGCTTTCCAACCCTGGTTGCAGGAAAGAGTCGGGCGCCTCCTCCAAATTCCAGCCCAGGGAAAGGAATGTGAAGCGCATTTGCAGTGCTAACAAGACTCCACCCTGCGCCAGTGTGCAGCTATCACGGAGTGGCCAACAGCCCTGCCCGACTTCCGTGCCCCACACGGGAAGGGGAGGCTGCCCCTTTGCCCCCCCCAACAACTCTCTGGCCAGGTAGACTGCAGGTGCTGATGGAGGAGAAAGGAAGGGAAGGAAGGAAGGAAGGAGGGAAGGAGGAGGAGGAGGAGGAGCACCCAGGTGGGGTGTGCTACTAATGATACTGCCTGCCCCTTCCCACCAGGTGGGAACCTTCTCCTGACAGCCTCGCCCTTCTGAATCAGCCCAGGCAGCTTCTGCCAGTGTCCCAACTGGAGGCCCTGCGGAGCCCAGGAAGGGAGGCTGTGAGTCAGCCGTGGGCAGGCAGGCATTCCAGGCCATCTCCCTCTCATGCCTGGCCCTGTATAATTTGGCCCCACCTGGCTGGACTGGGGGCGTGGTGTCACCTTCCTTCCGCGCAGGCGCCCAGCGGTGTCAACCTCCCTTCTGGCCAGCGGTTAAACATTAGCCAGGCAGCCAGTGGGAAGAAGTTTGGCTTCCGAGGACAGAACCACCACCCACCCCGGGGTTCTGACAGGCCAAGTTTTCCCTTCCCTGGAGAGCCTGCCCCCTTTTGGACTACAGCTCCCATCACCCACTTCCGCCAAGCAGAAAAATTCAAATCTTCTGGAAATGATGTATTTTAAAAAAAGAGTGACAAGGCAGGTGGAGATGATCTGAAAAAAAATCAGATTCTCTCTTGATTGGGGAGGCCCCAAAGATTTGCGGATGAACTTGAAAGCCCCCTCTCGCTGCACAGGGACTAATAATACAGGAAAGCACTCTGCACATGCTTGCGGTCACTGTTGTTTACTTGCCCCGATTCCAGAATTGACTGAAAGGAAGGGCTTCTCTCCTGTCCTCCCCCCCGCCCCCCACCCCCAGGGCCAATTCCCTTCCCTACAACCTTTGCTCTCTTTCTCTTGAATGATAAAACCGGAATATCCAAGCAGAGATTCAGGCCTGCAGGGCGGAAAGGAGGCCTCGGATCCAAGATGGAAGCTGAGCGGCCGATCCAGAAGTTTGGGACTGCCAATCCCATCAGCCTCGGCCAGCACAATCGGTGGCCAAGGACCAGGGGAACGTGGTCCCAAATATTTGACGTTTGAAAGAGCCGGTTGATCTGCTCTACAGTTGTGGAGATATAACTTTCTTCCCTGCAACCAGTCCTCTGTGTGTGTGTGTTTGTGTGTCTGTGTGATGCAGCACCGCCAATTTCAACTTGGGGGCTACCCTGAAAACCGCCCCTCCTGGCTGGGTTTGTGCAGCCATGTGGGTCCCCCTCCTCCCTGGCTCTGCTTGGCTTGCCGGAGGGAGGCTCTTTGCAAAGCCCCCCTCTGCCTGGCGACCCCCGTCAGCCCCCATCCCATCTCTGCGCCCTTAAAACCCAAAGTCCGCGGGGCTCTTTAGTCTCCGACAAAACGGGGCCACTGAAAGGAGCAGCTCCCACGCCAACCCCACTCCGTCCCTGGACAAACCGGACAAACGGCTGACAGGCAGGAAGGTTTTCCCGGGACAGAGAGGCCGAGCGAGCCTTCGGACGGGATTCTGGTCCTGAGCGGGGGTGGGTGGGCTGGATGGCCTCAGGGGTCCCTTTGAGCACTAGAAGGCGCCGGCCCAAAGACAGCGGGTGGGGGGGGGGGGGCAGCGGAGCGATCTTCGTCTAATCCTTTGATAAGAATTGGATCAGAATAAAGAGACTTTTTCTGCTCCGGCCAAGCAGGAAGCGAAGCGAAGCGAAGCGAAGCGAAAAACCGGCCGGGGCTGATCCGGCGATGCGCTGCCAGAGACCCCCAGCCAGCCGCGCAACTCGGCGGGGCAGCCCGGATCGAGCG